TTTGAATGAAAAAACCCGTCCATCTTTTTTTTTTTTTTTTTTTTTTTTTTTTTTTTTTGATTTCAAGCCGATGCCAACAGTGCACGCATACCTTCATTCTGTATCTGTTAACACCAAACTCCACTCTGTTTGATGCAGGATTTGAGTAGTGCAGACAGCAAACCTAAACCGGGTTTCCTCCACCTAGATAAAGGACGGCCAGCCTCCTCCACCCCTCATAGTAATGGTAACATAGAATCGCCGGAACAGCTTTCCAAACCTGGCTTCCCTGGGGAGACCTTACACAAGAAAAGGTACACATTGAAAGAGAAAAGTAACGCGTGCAGTGTCAGGTTTTGTTTAGTGACTGTAAAACATATTTAAAATGAGCTCTTCTGCCGGACAAGTGGAACCTAGACTTCAGTTGTTGAAGGCTCAATGTTTTGGTCTCGTCCTTGTTGAAGGGATGGTTCCAATCCTCGCAGTGACTCCCAGTCTCCTGTTGGAGGTGAGAGACGATCAGTGGAGTTTCAGATCAGCACTCCTTCTGCTTTCAGCAAGCTGAACCTGCACAGAAGCTTCAGCCCTCTTGTCTTGTCCCAGGGTTCTTGGTCTTCCAGGTGATCTTATTGAATATGCATGCTCGGATTATGAACAAACCCTACCCGTGTGCGAGTAGTGGTTGTAAATTGAACATACACGGTATCTAGACCTACAGTACATCATACAGATATGTTGCTTGTTTTCCCCTCCAAAAGGACTGCATCACCCTGCCTTTCTAGCCGCTCTTCTCCCATGCTTGCTGCTCCTCGAAGCCCTTGTCCAGAGTACCCAACAGAGCCATTTTCCGATGGAGCTGAAATCCAGGTGGCTAACCTTGACTACAGAATGTCCCGCAAGGAGCTACAACAGACTCTACGTGACACCTTCTTCCGATATGGGCGGGTATGTCCGTCATCTTTGGCAGTATCGCTGTGATCAACATGTTGATGAGTACCGATCCCCGGTACTAAACTGGCCCCGTTGCTGGAGGGGAAAAAAAAAAAAAAAAACCTGCAGTATCGATAAGCTGCGTGCCTGCTTATGGTTTTGGAGAAATTACTCCACTGGCAACTCTGCTGGCCTAATCCCATGTACTCAGGCTTCGAAGCCGCGCCACCGGTTTGGAAGCATGGGTGGCGAAGTCGACAACTTTCAAGGCTCTGAGGAATGAGGTTTTAAGAACGTACACTCACAGAGCGCAAGCTGTTGTCATCTACAAAGTATTCAGTATTGAGTATGTCACAGTAGACATGACTAATCAATCATGACAAGTACATTTATTTAAAACAACAACAAAAATTGGTTGTATTTCGAAACGGTACCGATTAGAATACTAACACCGAATCGATAAAATAAGGCAAGTTTATTTGTTTAGCACATATCATGTTCAAGACAATTCAATGCACTCGTTAAGAGGAGTTGTATCGATAAAATATTATCGATAGTCATCCCCATGGGTGTGTTCACACTTTTTAAGTTGGTTTGAGTCCAAGAGAGTTGTTTATTTTTAGTGTTGTTCTGCTTTTTTAGGTGAAAGGAGTCGAGCTTAGTCCCCACACAGACTATCAGCTTAAGGCTACAATCCAGATGCTGTCCTTACAGCAGGCTATCAGTGCTGTCAGTGGACTTCACCGTTACAAAATTGGAGGCAAGCGCATCCAAGTGTCTTTGATCACAGGTGGCCATAGCAAATCCTTGGTCATGCTCAGGTACAAATGTTAGGACACTCGGCTTTATTGCTGAGGACCTGCGTGGAGGTTAATTTGATAATGTCATTATTTTCAAGCTCCGAGATCAGCAGCATTCTTCAGGAAGCACCTGCAAATTGCCTTCCTCTCTTCAAGTTCACTGAGATCTATGAGAAGAAGTAAGCATCTTAATCTCCCAGCACCTAAACATAATCAACCATGCCAAATAACAAAAGCTTTTGGGTTTTGCCGGATTTACATGGACTGCTTTTCCATACCTCCTACATCCAGGTACCACCGTAAGATTTTGATGAGCGATCTGTACAGGCTGCCGGATGTAGTGGCTATTCGGGAACAGGGCGGCACGAGGCTGGTGTGCCTTCTTCCGAGCAGCCAAATCCGTCAGAGTCCACTTGGATCTTCTCAGTCACAGGGGAGCTCCTCCACACCAAGCGGCAGCCCTGTGGTGTTTGAGGAGCTGGAGTACCATGACCCAGTCTGCAGACAACACTACACGCAGCACAGCTTCAGGCAAGAATCTGGCTTACATGACACACTGCACGTGCACGCATGCAAATTCAAGTGACTAAACAGAATGAAAATGCTTCAATTAAGCACCCGTCTGAATAAAAAGAGCGAGTTCGGAGGGAATTTCATTCTGATTTACCGGGGTGGTATATTCATTTTGCCACGCTGAATGAGCATCATGTAAACAATTCAATCAGAATAGCCAAGCGTCATCGTGCGCACTTTAATTTGACAATTTTATCCAGCAGCACTACTGGATGCATTTCTTATTTGATGCAAGTCTGTTTAATGTTACTTCAAACTAAAGTGAAAAAAGGTAAGCAGTCATAGTGTGTGGTATAATTTTTATTTTATTATTTTTTTGAGAATAACTGAAAATATGTCATGGCATATTGTTATCGTGATATAAAATTGCCTTTATCATGATTGATTTTTCCGTGCCGCCCAGAAGCTATGGCCGATGAGTGATTTCTGGTGCTTTTCCTTTGTATTCCGTAGCGAGGCAGACTTTGACCCAGACTCGTACACAATTCCTTTTGTGGTGATGTCTCTCAGAACTTTGGCCTCTGAGGTTCATGAACTGCTTCAATCACACGAAGGAACTCTTCCCCTCCTCAGGTGACAACATATGCTTTTATTTATTCTACCTCATTTAAAATATTTGAGGTTAGTTGCACCGTGTTTCTCTCGCAGTATAAAATAAATAAATCAATGTGTTGTTTTTCTCTTCCAGCTTTCCAGACTGCTATGAAGCAAAGTTCAGTCGGCTGGAGCTGAGCAATGAAACTCTGGAGTGTGGTGTTCCTTTGGAGCACCTCATCGCATGTGTTCCCAGTATAACCATAGTCACAACTCAGAACGGTTACAAAGTCATCAAGTGGATTCACAACAAACCACCAGCACCAAACTCCGGTGAGAACTTTCACTCAATCAAACTTTGACAGCTTTTCTTCTATGCTCTGAACAATTTTGGAGAGAGAGGGATAAGGGACTCTCTACCATCTCATATGATTATTATTCTTGTTTGCCTCCAGAGCCGTGGCTCCACCGATGCAAGAGTCCCGTTGGCAACCCTCAACTCATTCAGTTCAGCAGAGAGATTATTGACCTCTTAAAGAGTCAACCGTCTTGCATCATGCCTATCAGCAAATTTATACCTTCTTACCATCATCATTTTGCCAAGCAGTGCCGCGTCTCCGATTATGGCTACTCAAAGCTGTTTGAGCTGTTGGAAGCAGTGCCGCATGTCCTGCAGGTACTGTACATGAGTGCCTTAACCACATTGTTTTTGGCAAATTTACTCGTGTCCGATATGATATATCATTACGCACTTTAAGTTTGTTGTTTTCGTCTAAATGCAAATAAAGCTCAAGTTTGGACGGTTTTCGAACAGGTACGAGGTTGCTTTACAGTGATATTAATGTACCTTACTAGCATAACACTATCCTTGTGTAGGGCTGAGTGTCTGACAGGTTGAAAATGAGCCAAAATAGATTCATTCAGACTGCAGACCAGGGCTTTTTTTCCCTTGTTGTTGATCTTGCATAATTGACCCAGTACATAATGTTTGCTTTTCAGATCTTGGGTATGGGTACCAAACGTCTGCTGACCCTTACTCATCGAGCCCAAGTGAAACGTTTCACTCAAGACTTATTAAAACTTCTCAAATTTCAAGCCAGCAAGCAAGTGGCTGTCAAGGACTTCATGCAAGCATACCACTGGTCCGTCAACATATCATACCAGTCCTAATTCTAAGTTGGGTTTGGGGATGCAGAGTGGTTCGGGTTTGAATGTATTCAATGCCATGTTCGTCAGGTGCTTTTCCAGAGACTGGAATGTAGCAGACTATGGCGCGTGTGACCTCATTGACCTGCTCTCTGAGATTCCCGATACCACCATCACCACCACGCATCATGACAATGACACAGTCATCTCTGTTCCCAAGAGAGGTACTGCTAGCTTCACAACCTACAGTTATTTTAATACACTCAGCAGTTTCTTTTCACACCGGTAAGATCGCACCCTAATTTTTCAGAAATACGTCACCATGACAAATTGTTAGAACGGGTGTGAGTTGATTCTTTGTTCAATGTATGATCGGCTTCATACATCTTTTTACAAAAAGAAAAAAAAAACCCTCAGTACGATTACATGTACTGTGAGCAGTTCTAAGGTGGGGGGGGGGGGGATAAACTTGTGGAACCCCCGTTGATGCTCAGTCGGTCATATGCGGATGATACTCTGTCTAAAATGGATGAAAACCTTAAGGATATTCGCAACTAAACTGCCTGCTTCACCACAGAGCGTACTGGGGATGAAATAGAGCGCACGAAGCAGTTTGGAAAGGAGGTCGTCGACCTCCTCCGTCACCAACCTCACTGCCGAATGCCCTTCAGCAAGTTCATCCCCACCTACCACCACCACTTTGGACGTCAGTGTAAGCTGAGCTACTACGGCTTCAACAAGCTCATGGAGCTGTTTGAGGCCATCCCTGAGGTGCTCATGGTATGCTAGACTTCTGATTGGCACTAGTAGTCGTGTGATTGTGTGCGCTTCATGTCAACTTTTCTGAATATTAACATCCCTCCCGCTTTCCTTGCCAGGTGTTGGAGTGTAGCGAGGAGAAGGCGCTTACTCTCACAGAGGTGGAGCGCATTAAAGCTCTGGCAGCTCAACTGGTCAAGCTGCTTCGAGCTCAGAAGAACTGCAGCCTTCCCGTGAGCCAGCTGCTCACAGAGTACAGCAAGACCTTTGGTTATGGTCTACGCCTGCAGGACTACGACACCAGCTCCCTGCCCGCGTTACTCAGCAAACTCTGCCATGTTGTGAAGGTAAAGAGTTGTTTAACTCCATAGGTTCTCCTGTCAAGCATAACGTGTCATTTTTGTTTGGTGATACGCTGAGATTTTACTATGTATAATATGTGCCTTTTGCTCAATAAAGGTTTGCAAACATCAGTCCAGTCATCTATTAAACCATTTTCTTTGCTATTCAAGGTGGTGGATGGTACAGACGGACGGGAAGTTCAGCTCATCAACAGGAAATCTCTGCGTTTACTGACATCACAACTTCTGGCACTGCTTATGTCTCAAGAGAAACATGTCGACAAGGGTCTCAGGGTGGATGAATTGCGCCAGCATTACCAGATGGTCTACAAAGCCCCACTCAACCCTTGTGAATATGGGTTCCTCTCCCTCAGCGAGCTACTCAAGAGTCTGCCCTACCTTGTGGAAGTGAGAGAAGCCGTTTATTCAAGAACATCACATCCTTTTCCGTGGACCGGGCCGTGTTTTAATTGTCCTCCTTCATAGCTTTACTGGGAAGGACTTGACGGAGGCATTCAAGCTGGCAGCACCACAAGCGGTCCCGGTGAGGAGTGGGTGAGGCTGACCAGGCTTTACCAGTTTGCCCGTAACGTACGTGCACTGCTCCACACCTACCATTACAACCAGATCTTCCTGTCCGAGTTCCAAGGAGCTTATAGAAAGTTTACTGGCTGTGGCCTGGAGTCTCGCTCCTATGGATACATCAGCACTGATGAGCTGCTCAATGCCATTCCACAGGTGCCAATTCAGTTACGATCCCATTATTGCACTGCTGTTGGATTTTATATGCTTAGTGCATTATAAATTGATCTTTTTTTTTTTTCCTGACCTTTTATTTTGTGGCATCATCAGGTGGTCTGGATCAAAGGGCACGGTCACAAGAGGATTATCGTTTTGAAGAACGATATGAAAGGCAAAAAGCTTCAGTGCATATCCATTCATTGCGCTAATGCGATCTTTGTGTGCTGTCAATGATAACAGGCTTGTGTGTTGTTCTCATGCAGAGAGGGTGAGCGCTTCAGTCACCAGCAGCCCTCAGTCCGAAGGTAACGTGGAGAGCCCCAGAGACAGCCCAACCATCACCACCCGTTCTGAAGGACACAGTCCAAGTAAAAATTTGCCTTTCATACCTGGGATCAACAACAACCAAAATCAGTCTGCTGTGCCTTGTTTCGCAATATTTCATCTGTTTCTATTGAATTTAGATTTTACCTTCTGTAAAAGCAGATATTAGAAACGGTATCTGGTCGGCTTGTGTTCCAAGCATACTAGTTCGATACCTACCATATTGATCACTTCACACTACTTGCCTCATATTAGTTAAACGTATTTAATATGTTGAGATGCAGGGCCACAAAAGACAGTAACAGAAGCATGTTGTATTTTGGCATACACATTTGCTGTGTCTGTAATATTTGCATTCCAATCTCCAAAAAGACATTTGATGAAACTTAATCCCTTTTTGTTTACCATCAGTAACGTGAAATGAATGCACATCTTCCTTACCTTCCAGGCACCGCCATGACACCAGAGTCCGAGCTGCTGTGTCTGACGTCCTCAGTCGACCTTCTCTGCGGCCCGGTACCGTCTTGCCTGCCGTCACCTCAGCTCCACCCTGACCCTGTCCTAATGCAGCAGGCCAGTCTGATTCGTTTTGAGGAGAAAACTCCGCCATTGTCCCACACATCAGGTCAGCATTAGTGTGGAAAATTGCCTAACACTAAAGTGCTGTGAGAGATCATCAATATTTCATTCCATTGGTGCGAATATCATTTATTACAAATGCATCTTTGTTTATCTATCAACGCCAGGGGCATCGGCATAACAATGAAATGCTTTCCCCCCAAATGACAGAAGGTACAATTAACCCGTGCCTTTTGCCATTCATAGAACATAATACTGTAATAGCTTTGTGTGGATCTAAACAAGCCCAGATTCACACTTAGTGAGAGTAAATATGAGATGATGTTGAGACAAGATCATTTTTCCAGGAGATGTAACTTTTGTGAACTTTGTTAGGCAGTGAGATTTTTCCGAATGTCGTGTAGGTGCCTTGGCGGCTTAGTAAAATAAAATTAACACACACATTATACAAAGAAAATACGTAGTACAACTGGGTTTGAAACTTCTCACCAAGAATTCAAGCCACACATCCAGTTTAGAATTTGGCAACTTAGCAAACAAGGCATCCTAGCTTTAGTGTGCATGCATCTATCATTAGAAGCAGTATTATGCACTGCATTTACTGTAATTCAAAGTCTGTCGACTGTTAAACTGTATTCTGTATTGTACAAAATGTTTTCAAATATTAGTTTCGTTGAATTGTTACACAACAGTTACCATTGGTTTTTTTTTTTAAACAAAAACTAATACGAAAAGTGTTTTCGAAAAAAATTAAAACTAATAAAAAACTAACAAAGCTAAATTTCAAACTCAAAACAAAATAAAAATGAACTGTCGTTAAAATTCCCAAACTATAATAATCTTGGTGCCTTGATTCAATAATGATTTGCATTAGATTAAAGTTGACGAGTTGTAACAAGAGAACAAAAACACATTTGGATGAGCATATCACACTTCTTTTTTTTCACCTTTCATCAGGTTCCTTCTCAATCTGTGCTTATGTCTTCAGAGAGCAAAGAATTCCACACGGGATCTGCTGCCCAAGATGGCGAGCCTGCGGCACCCACGGAGACAGAGCCCCCTTTGTCCATGGACAGTCCCGGCAGAAGAGGCCCCCGCAATAGAATCAAGCTAGCTGCCAACTTTTCATTCAATTCAGGTTGCTGAACCAACACGCACACACATGCAGTGAGCCATACTGGTTGAGCCGTAGCGCAACTCTGAGAAGGAGAGTTGAGTAGCGTTACTAATCACGCTGCTGAATGACCACTCTCGAAGGGCATTTGGCGTTGCTGCTTTCTGCCATTGCATTATAATCTTCAGCTTTTCTGTCGCAAGCCTTTGGATCTGTTCTTTCGCAATCATTCATTTCATTCAGTGGTTCTCACAAAGCTTTGATCTTTTTTACCTCTTGCAGATTTTCTGCAATTTACAAACGTAGACCCCACTTACGGTTATTAGAATTTCATTCCATCCTGAAGGAAGTTAAATTTTATCCCCAAGAACGTGCACATGGGAAATCCAGATGAGTTAGATGCCACTGCATACAGCGCACCAACCATTTGGAGAGATGCGCAAGATGAATAGCACACTTGTGTTTTAGGATGTTAAAACAAACTTTTTCTCAGGTCATCAGCTAGACCAGATGCCATTTTTGAAGGTGTTGTTCAACGATATAATAATTCTAGTTTAAGTCTTAAATAGCCGACGCCTTTGAATTTCACTCGACATTCTTTTTAGAAACTTTGTAGGTTGTTCCAGAGATGTTGAAATCCTTTGTTTGCTCCTTTTGCTTCAAAGACGTCCATACCCCCATTTGTGGGTGTCATGACAGGTTGCCTCTTAGAGATCATCACCAAGTGAACGGCTGTTGCGTTTTGATTAAGTCGGTGCTAGTTTGGTCAACAGTTACGCGCCAGAAAGTGAAATGTCCCCCGCCCTAAGGCAGGATGTGCATATTTGGACAAGCTTTTAAGCCAGCAGCCAGTGTCTCTGTGTTCTTTTAGCTGTTAGTGTGTGGTTCTCCACTGGAGGCAGTCTGACATATGCACGGTGTGCATACATGAGCTGATGCATGATGAAATAAGCCCAGCAGCAGCAGACGGGGAAACGTATACAAGAAGAAAAACAAACATTCTTTGTGATCAGTCTTTCGTTTTCCACCTTGTTTTTGGCTTCTTGGAGGCGGGGCCACCTTTGTGGCCGCTACTGATGTACTCAAGGCTTTTAGTTTTTATTTCCCTCTCAGCCTTGTTGCCAGTAGCGTCTGTCGCGGTCTCCTGTCTGAGCACTCTGGGAGTTTTTTTTTTCTTTTTTTTTTTTCTTTTTTTTTATGACAAAGGTGCACTGTGGGTGTTAGTTTTCAGGATATAGACATAGGTGGGAGGTGGTGGTCTTGTTAGTGGAGTGGCACAGGGGCTGTGTGAAGCCTGTATGTGTGTCTCACATCCACGTAGAGAACCCTCTGTGGCTCTCTGGATTTTGCCTGGCTTTTACAATGGCTTGTATTTGCCACGTTGACAAAGGAATGGCCAAAGTACCTCCCCAGCCATCATGTTTTGACGTCCCCGCGTGTTGGTTTCCTCCTTTTTTGCCATCACCTGTGTTCTGGTTCTGCTGGCTGCTTGGTTTGCTTCCAGTCTACTGTCAGTTTGTTATGCGCCGCGGATGTGACGAGTGACAGTTTATGTTCGGAGAAAAACATTCAGAGAATGGGTAAAAGCCCATTACTTCAGTGGGCAACCGTTACCCGTTGACTCGTTCGGCTGGCGTCGTGACATGACTGGTTTTTGAGTTTCCCCCCCAACTGTTGACCACTCATCCAAATTATTTTAACTCCAGGCGCTACAGCGTCGGCTCCTCTGCCCTTTCCAGACCCAGTTGAACACTCTTTGATTAAGGAACGTGCAGCTCACCGAATTACTGATTTTGATTTGACACCAATAGCTTTAATGCTTCCGATAAACCTCTATTTAAAACTTTTTTTTACTAAGTAAATCTGAGCTTTTTCTGTGCAGTGGCATCTATCTCATAATGGACACAGTAGCGCATTTAGCGTTTCCTTTTGTGCAGGTCTCATCTGTAAAGTGCTCTTGAAATATGCTTATCTGCATAGTTTTGGTTTATGTAATGTGCAATTATTTGGAGTCCGAGAATATGTTTGAAGAAAGAAATGAATGAATTCTTAGCCAGCTTGTACTAACACAATTTGTATTGCTTAAGTTTTTCCATTTGTGCACCAGTTGTTCTGTATTCAAGAACTGAAAAGAAAAATGTAGTTTTAATTCAAAGCTGACATTTAAAACTGCTGCATTGTAATCTTTTTTTTTTTTTTTTTTTTTTTTAACTTGCTATCACACAAGCTCCCAATCTATTACAGTTCGAAAGCCTCACCACAACTTGTTGCTGTCAAACATCGTTTAAGGGACCAATCCAGTTCTGTTAATAAACTTAACTAAGCATTACGTCTGGGCTTTAGTTTCTTGGTTGGTTCAGGTTGACAGCAAGATGCAATCTACTGGGAAGTTCCTGAAAGATGATATTTATTTAAACATGTATGTACAGGAAGTTTCGGCTTACTTTTGGCATGTGTTGCATTTTCAACATTAGGAGCTTAATGAATTCACTAGCACGATAGATGCTTATAAAGAAGAGACAAACGGCTTGGCAGATGTTCATATAACACTCAAACATACATGGAAATGTTGGTATTTCCAAGAAGATTGCATTATATAGGTAATGTGCATAATTAAAACAAATCTGATTATCAAGTTCCTTCTTGTCAGATGAAAGCAGGCAAACTGTGATTATCACAATCAGTAATTCTCCGGATTATAATGTCAGTGTGGCCAGTTAGGAGTGCACAAAGCAATAATTGTCCGTGCTTCCTACCCGCAATATTTTGTTGTTTTTGCCCATACAATAAATATTCAGAATATTACTGAAGCATACATAAACCTGACGACCAGTCTGCAGTAAAATGCTACAACTGAGAGTCATGGGTGAGCTAGTGTTCTTCAGGAAGCTGCTTTTTTTTTTTTTTTTTTTTTTAACCTGAAGGTTTCTTTTGCCAAGGACAACAGTTATAAACCTCTAGGTGGCTGACAGTCATTTATTGTAAGCTGCAAGTACAGTGCATCCAGAAAGTATTCCCGTTTCACTTTTTCCACATTTTGTGTTGCTGCCTCTTAGAAAAATAGATTACATTCATTTTTTTCCCTTAAAATTCTACACGCAACACCCTACAATGATATCGTGAAAAAAAAGGTTGTTTTTTTTTTGGGGCTACAATGATATCGTGAAAAAAAAGGTTGTTTTTTTGGGGAGGCGGGGGGCAGCAATTATAGCCCCAAGTCTTTTTCTATATAAAGCTTTGCCCATTGCTCTTTGGAGGTTGGATGGGCCGCATCAGTGCACAGCCATTTTCAGATCTCTTCAGAGATCTGAAAATGTGAAGCGCTGGGAATACTTTCAGGGCGCATTTTAGAATTGACGCATTTAGAGAATATAGTGTTTGGGAAAATACACACTCATCTGCACTAACTGTTATAAATAATTGTATTTGTAAAATTTTGTGAGTGGGGAAGCTAATTTAGTATTTTCATCACCTGAGGAAAAGCAATGAGCACAATAATCATCAATCAACATCTTTCGTCGTTGTCGTCACTCTAGCATCAAAACAGCTTGGCTTAATGTGACCCTACTTTCAAGCAAATCTCGAAAGGGATACTTTACTAATTTTGCCATTTTCGGCAGTAAAATGTGAACATTTTGTCTATAATGAATTTGATAACTTTTATTATCTTCCATCTACAATTAACACCTTCACAAACACGTTTTTTGCCACTTGGTGTCGACTGAAAATGACCTCACATACTCAGGGGTCGGGTCAAGACTAATCACGGCTCAGCTTGTGAATGTCAAATGAAAAGTAATGAAGTTAATCAAATTCATTATAGATCAAATATTCACTTGTTTGTGTTGAATATGGCAAAATTTGTAAAGCATCCCTTTAAGTTGCATAATGATACCTAATGTCACTTTGATTGACAACGGAGGACGTTGGAGGTGCTGCTCAGTCAGTTTTAGTACCAAGCATCCACATGGCATAATTTGTATCAATGTCCAGCTGACTTTTTTTTTAGTTTGTTTGTTCTTTTCACCACATGCTCAGCTAGAAAGCCTTGTACAGTATTTAATAAAATTCCCTACATGGCCATTGTGCTTGTAGTCCCGTCTTTTGATTCTAGATTTTATTGCCACTGTACAGCAAAATGAAAAATGGAGATGACATTTTTTTTTCATGTTTGACTTTACAATTCTAAGCCTACTACAGTAATCTGCCACTTTTGGAAAAGGATAAAAATTTAGCCTTTCCGCAGACTGTTTAGAATGTCCCACTTTAACGATTAAAACTAAAGTACAAACTATGATCCAAAAAGATTTTGTTATATTTTCAAAGTCATTATCTAACACTACCCTCATCAATAAATGAATTACAAATGATTTGATATTGGCGAAGATTCTACTGTCCACTTAGAACCCAAGCTAAACTTGGCTCCGCCCTGACATACAAAGCTGGTCTCTCAGTCGATGGATTTCTTCAACATGCTTCACACCTAAAACTTTCCAGCTTTTCCTATTTGGATGGGAATTTGTCTTGAGGTATTGTAGACTTGCCACAAATCTGCATTTGTTTTTAAACAAATGGCTAAGAATTGATTCCGCAGGGGGGCATCAAGTGGTGGTTTTGTGAATATTGAACTGCGAATATGCAGGAGATTACTATCTGGTATTCTGTACCCGAACTACGGAACGCATCAACACTAGCCTCCCTGACATTGTGTACTTGCATTGCAAACACGACTCGACTTATAGACACCTTCGAGTGGAGCATAAAGCTGGACAGGTTCTCATATTCACAGGACATGATGTTTGCTGAATTTGTTGGTGGGCGAGGTGGGGGGTATTGAAGGTCTCCGGTAATTACATGATGGAACACTGGGTGGCGCCACAGCAGTCCTTAATGATGGCCACACCTGATTTCGTGACGAAGGGTTTGTTGGATGGTGGCTCCAGAACTTGTCTTTTGGGCTTTGGAGGATCTTGGTGTACTAATTATGGAATGGAAGAGAAACATTTACAGTTTAGAAGTGTGTATTTGTTTGTTTGGGTTTTTTTTTGTGCTTTTGTATGTAAATAAATATGTCCACTCACTTTGTTTGACTTTGAGTTTGTTTTCCAGTGGCATCAATTTCAGCCTGAGGAAGTCTGCCATCTCCTTGTCCTCCTCCTGCTCCCTGAGTCATATCGCAGTGATATTAACATTGAATTTCAAGTGCACACGCATGCTTGCATTTCCCCCCTCTTAGATCTACCTTAATCTCTCCACCTCTGCATCATCCACCAAGAAATCCCTCTTCTGCACCAGTTTATGGATCTTTAGGATCAGTTCCTCTTCCTGTTGTTTGTCTTTCTTGCTTTTGTCTTTCTCTGCAGGAACAGGAGATGGTAACGTCACCGCAATATGTCGCCATGACAAACAGTTTTGTGGTGCCAAAGACGAATTGACCTCTCAATGACCTTAGAAGAGCTTGCGGTAATGCTAATATGAAAGCTCTGTGGGTTGTGTCATTCCGTGCATATGAAAATGAATTGGGAATACATTAGCCTTGCTCAGCAGCCACTGTTTGAGTGTCTGCTACTGACTAACTTAGCTTGAAAAATGAGTGCAACCATCTGCCAGCAGAGCAACGAATGCACAATGCTTGAGTCCATTGTATATGTGAGTTATGCGACAATCAAGTAATTGACCTACGAGTTGGGTAAAATGGTTCAAAAAAGAAACGGATTCCTTTCACTAATAATACAGGGTGTTCCAAAAGTCTTGGGCTCATTTGAAGTCCCCATATTTCTATAAATCAACTATAAATGGTAGTCAGATAAAAGTCGTGCCATTTTAAAGCTAATTACATTAAGTTTTTCGTAAGGCTATTGATCTTTTTATTTCTTTTCAGACCCATTAATGGCATTCACTCAACCAGAAAAGGCGTTTTGTGTGCTCGAATTTGCAAAAACTGAATCATGGACTGTTGTTCAACGTGCATTTCGCAGAAAAGTCGGAAAGGAGCCACCAGAGAGGAAGTCCATAGTGAGATGGCATGGTAAATTCATAACGGATGGGTGCTTATGCTTTAAACTGAAGGCACGAATAACAGAAGCTGTTGCAACCATTGACAATGTAATGCTGGGACGCGTTTGGCAAGAATTTGACATCGGAATATATAAGAAAAATAAACACACACACAAACACACACACACATATGTGCGTGTGTGTGTGTGTGTGTGTGTGTGCGCGTGCGTGTGTGTATATACAGAAATAAACATCAAAGTTTTTTTTTCGTTTTGTTTTTTAAATGAGTATAGACTGCCAGAGGGACGTAGCAATTGAAGAGCTTAGAGATGGAACTGGAAAAGTGTACTCGCATTGCTGGGAACTCCTGCAGTCTCAGCAAGTATGTCGGCATCACAAATGTGTCGTCCCTTGGCCTGAACACCTCTCTTGCGTGAAGCAGCAAACGGAGGTGGGTCTTGGCTGCTGTGGCCACAGTGGCTTTTTGTCGTCATTTATGATGCAGCCCAATCTTTTGCAAGAAATAGTGTGCTGATGTTGCAGGGAAGCTAAGCGCGCCTCCAACTGAAATAAGGCTGCATGCATCCCTTTGATGCCAGTCACCCAATCAGGTCCTGGATTTAGGCCCTCTTCAGCTGGCTATTGGAATGACTATAAACTGCCGCTATGCAATCTTCCACTTTTTCTCTGAAACATGTTACCACATTGGCAGGCCATTTCATTAATTACATCAACACCATCTAACACACGGGTGGGTGAACTTTTGTGCTCAAGGGCTACTTTTGAATTTTAAATCAGACAGATGGGCCAGGTAGGTCATTTGTAGATGAGGCCAAATATAGTTAAAATGTATATAATTGTTTTCATGATTTTCTTTTCATTGCATAACCATTCATGTGCTATCCCAGTTTTCATTATGTAATTAAATAGCATTTATTAACCACATTTAAAAATGTGGGGTGTTCTTGCATATGTTTAAATCATTTCCACAACAAATCAATGAACATTATCTAAATAGCATTTATTAACCACATTTAAAAATGTGGGGATTTTTTTGCATATGTTGAAATAATTTTCACAACAAATCAATGAACGTTATCCGATGAATTAATCAATTTTAATCAATTTATTTTGCTGCAGCAAAAATAATGCATCGATACTTGATGAATCAGATTCAACAAAAAAATTGTCCTTTACCGAAACTATTATAACACTTAGACATTAAATTTGAATGATTACACTGAAAAGTGTCTCTATATTCATTGTTGCATTAGTATCAACATTTTATATGCATATAATGGAATATATACATTAAGTACAATTTAAACTTCGCTCTCGCAATTTTACTAATGAATTTAGTAGCAATGTTGCACTGCATCATCGGGAGACAAGTTTCAGCTCTTGGTTTGATGCGGTAGAGTTGCATTAAATGAGGCTTGCGAAGTCAAGGTATATGAATACAAGTCTGAAGATTATCTTTTTGAAAAGTTTTGAGTATACTGTACAGCTCTTTTGTTAGATCTCATGAGATCACACAGGTGTGCCTAAAGGTGCCGGTGAATGTGACATCTAATTTGTGTTGCGTTCACCGCCGGCAGCGCAATCAACACGAAGCAGCTCAAATTGTACTTTGGTGTGGAAACAGGCTCGCTCGTGCGCGTCACTCGCAACCATCCCGTGGATGTCCTATTTATATATCACTGTGACGCATGCATGCATGCTTTCTGCCAAACGCTGTCATTCTTTTCCACCCTTGTTGTACCGTGTCACACAAAGAAGCTGACAAGAGAGGGTATGCATGCATCGGTTTGGGCTGAAGATGTACCTGGTACTGCAACAATCTGTCTCAATTCCTGTTTCAAACTCATGATGTCTTTGCACAGCTGGATGTCGTCCATCCTACAAGAAAAGGAGACATTAACTGCTTTCATCACACTTAAGAGTAAATATGGACAGTTGAGTGTCCGGAAACCTGCCCTATAAATGTGATTTATTATTAGTAGTATGATTTTGTGATAAATGCCCCCCAAATTGAATATCTTTCATTTGGGTTTTACATTTCTTTTCAATTGTCTTGTTTTGTATTGTTTTTTTTTTTTTTTTTTTTTCCAGTGAGGAGAAACCGGATCTTTTATGTTTCCATTGCAATAGACTTATTGTCATTGTACGGTATGGAGAACACCATACTATAATATGATGAAATATTTGACTCTATATCTTTCTAGCAATGGCAATTTATTAGTGGAATAGCCACGATATAACAGATAGAGATACCTTTCTTGTATTGTGTTTCCTACATATAATGTAGGGTTATATTCTTAATGAGGAGGATCAAAATGTGCCCACTAGAAACAGCTCTTACTGTGATTTATAGCGGTTCTACACTACTGTTTGTTTGTTTGTTTGTTTGTTTGTTTATTGAACATATATAAAACATACAATAACATGACAAAATGCAAACAAAAATTATGAAAGGAAAATAAAAGTAAAAGTAAGTAATACAAACATCATCACAGTTATATGTTCAAAGGAGTAGGAAGAAGTATACAACTTGTTGTGCAATAATGTATATTGATCATTTCCAATACCAAAGAAAACTGCAAACTACAGAGCCAACAGTAAACGATTGGCCCTAATTGGCTGTCCATGAGTCCACTTCTACTTCTTTTCGACATAGCGGATGTCAGATTCTTTAGCTTGTTTAAACAGAGGTGAGACTTGTCAGATTGACATGACTTGTGAGCTCGAATGCCCGTTGAGCTTGTCATGAAGACGTCATGACATCAACCCGCGTGGCAGATGGAGAGCATGCGACCACCGATCACTTCACGCGGTACTGACGTCTCAGGGCCTTGGCATCAACACCCGGTCATCCCCCAACGCCCCCCTCTTCTCTTTCTCTGTGAGGGATGCCACACATTTAATTCCGCCAGTGATACATCAGCCTGATGACTCATGCACAGTCGCCCCTCCCTTCTGTGCTGCTCTATTCGCAGCCTCCCTCCCTCTCGCAGCCTGGGTGTTGAAGTCTCTCAGTGCTATCAGTGGATTCCAGAAGCGTCCGCTCTCCGAATGCCAGTTTTACACACGTTTCCATGTGTTTGTGTGGCAGCTGGAGTCCAACACAAGCTGACACAAGGAGAGAGAAACTGCACGGCGGCAGCGTAGTGAAGCCTTTCTGTCGACTTGAACTCTCCACAAAAATCACTCAGTGTCACGTGAGGGCACACTACAAGCAACGATTCACACACCGTTACCTTAAATTTGACAACAAAAATGGCCATTCATACATTCGCAACCTACAACGCATGTCTGATGAAATCCAATGTGATAATTCATCTATATTTTGTGCAGTCCGATCTCTTAGCGGCGAGAATGTATGGTTTGCAGTTTTGTGCTCAGATCGCGGTTCCCGCCATCCAATGTGGAGTCTGGCTGTTGTCCCTGTGCTAGCGCGACGTTTCTCTGCGTCCTCCAGCTTCCTCGCAGATTACAAAAACTTTGCATGTTAGGTAATGTGAAGATTCCATTCAGGACTAATGAAGATAAGTGCTGTAGAAAAATGTATTTGATGAAAAGATCATGTCTTTTGATCATGCAATTTTCATGGCAAAATGTAATATTTTATGTACATCCATCATATCAGACGATGTTTGTGTTGTTGTTTTGGTGTATCTAACATAGCCTGGGAGTGAATCAAAACAATATAACATATCAAATTGCATGTATTTTAAACTCCGACATTTCTAATCTTGCTGTAAATCCGTACTCTACTTTGATTCATGTCTGAGTCATATATTTCAGGTAAAGGGCCTTCTGTGTGTCGGCGTGATCTGTTTTTAAAATTGAGCAAAAGAAATGGAGAGTGGGTGGAACAAGGAAACGATGCAGCTGCTTCAATAAACTGTAAAACTGCGAAGCCAAAGAGTCAAGTGGGACGATGTGATGATTGAGGGTGGTAAATCGACTGCAATCCTTGAAGCTAATGTTAATGAGGATGCAGTAAATTCTTCATACAACTGCATGTATACTCAACTGGGGTGGGCAGTACGTTTGTTACTGTTTAGAGAAACACTATGAAATGAAGATAATATAAAGGTGAGAATAAAGGAATACAGTTTCATGGAAGAAATGGGTTGTAAATGTAGGTCAGTGCTTGTGATGGCATCTAGGCCGACAGAAGGCCTTGCTACCCGTGACTCCTCACCAATGATAATCAATGTAAAAATGAGTGGCATGTCAGGGCAGGATGCCGTCTCATCCAGCAGCCAAGGACAGCGGTTGGCATTTTGATGACCTTTGTGTGATTAGATCTTTGCAGTGCTCCCCCTCTATCCGGTCTTCGAAAAAAGAAAAACATTTTGCAACTCACATGAAGCGTAGCTCGGACTCCCGACGCACCAGGACCTCCCTGAGGCGCTGGATTCGAGCCATCTCCACCTCAATCTCTTCCGGACACATGGTGCTCTCAGCCATGGAAACGTCACAGTGACCTGGGAAACACAAACAGGAAACAATCGTACTGTCGCGTCTTTCACAGACTTTTATTAAGACAGTGACAGCTTCATCACACACTCAAGAATCACTTTCGACAAAAATATTGGACCAAAAAGAAGTCAAAATAGCATTGGTTTCTACTCCAAAATATGCCACCTGCTAATGGGAGTGTCAGATTTGGAAGGGGAGGAGGTAAGTGATTCTCCAAAATATGCACATGAATGAAGGAAGACTGTTCTTATGGTCTCATGCAGGCGCTAACTTGTACGCCTGTTCAATAAGATTGCTGAAGTTTTGATGCACTAAAGAGAGGCTTGGACCGACGAGAGCAGCTGTGTCGTCACACTGATTGTCTTGTTTCGACCTCACAAAGCACCTCAGCTATGAAACACATTCATTCGTTCATTACACTCGAATGCCGCAGAACCACATGCAACAGTGACCACAATGCTGACCTTCCCTTCAACCATCTCATGACCCCTTTTTTTGCATGCACTATGATCCCGTGATGGGTGATACAGTGAAAGTGAGTTTCTCAATCAAAGTAACAGTAACACTTGGCAAAATTTCATGTCAGAGTAGAGCACAGACCTCGATCAAGAATGGACATGCCTAATTTGGACCAGCACCAAATTGTCCATTTTCATAGACAGGCCCCATCATGGATATGCCGCAAATAAGTACAAAAGTCGGTGAAAAATACAAATAGCAGTGATTAGAAAAGTAACCAAGCAAGTAGAGGGAATATTATTTCAACGGTTTAATTTATACAGCACTTTTCACAGACATGGCTCACAAAATACACGAAGGATATAGCCATCATTACATACTATATTTATTTTATGTACTTTTTAAAAAAATAATATATCACATGCCCAAACACAACATTTTACCTTTAACAAAAATTCCTTAAAAAAAAAAATCTAAAATACAAATCCAGGAATAAGAAGCATGCTTTTGGAATGTGGAGGCAGCTTGAGTATTTGGGGCAGACCCATGCAAATCCAAAATTGGCAAATCCACAAAGTAGGGACCTGAGCTGAGCTTTAAACCTGGGACCTTTAGAATATGAGACGTGACAACCACAACTCCAATACCTTGCCTTATTTCATTGACAGTAATAATGAAACCGTAACATGATAAACAGAAAAAGGAAAGTCAATGCACACATTGGCACTGACACCAGTTGTCAATATTATAAAATGTCAAATTTACCAAGTGCTGATCTGAGATGTTTCCTGGTGGGTCACATCAGTGTGGTGAGACAGCTGGGGCTCCTGCAGGGTGCCGAACTGCAGTCAGTGAGCATGAAGCTGACTCACCACAGGCAAGCAGACAAGCCTCAAACAGAAAAGGAGGGCTTGTTTGTTCCGTCGCCAGCATTGAAAAGCAGATCAAAGTTTTGACGGTAGCCAGCAGCGGCACGACGCAAACCAAGCCTGAGTGCTTTTAAACTCATGCTTTTTCCACATTTTTTTGCCCGCTGATCTGAATGGACTTTTTAAAGTTGCCTATGAGCTTGCTCAACCCTCCACACGAAGAGCCGAGACAACAAGGAATGACCACTGTCACCACTTCCGAGATTTACAATAAAACAAATTTGACGCCAGCATGAGAAGCTGCAGACACATGTAGGTCGGTCTGTGCTTGCTAATTAATACATCCCACGCTGCATTCATTAAGCAAACCGCCTCATCAGTGGAGCCCAGGATTAGGATTTAATGAGGTCGGCAGCAGGCGGGGGGGCTCCACAACAGGTGAATGTCAGCATCTGCGTGACATCAAGCTGATGACACATCCTGCAGTCTCACACACACACACACACACACACACACACACACACTGGACCGCACTCCCACCTCCTTGAAGGAGAACTGCCCAGGGAAGGGGGCTGCGCTTCTGTTGGTTTATATACACAGAGGAAAGGTAGCCTTAGATCGACAGTCTGTGGAAAATGTAGCTGCGTCTTTTTCTGCTGTAAAGTTTACACCAGGCTCCCTCGTGATGACTTGTCCTCAGTGGGGATTATCGCATTGGGCGTCATTACTTGCGTCATTCGGGTTGAGTAATAATAATAAAAAAAAATTAAAACATGGTATGCAGTGGAAATAATAACACATATAGGAGTTATAACTACAATAAAAAGTGGTTTTCATTTTGAACCTATAAGGTCTGAAACTATTGTCCTTATTGATTTACTGTCAATATTCATACAAGTGTAGTTTCATGGCTTCTTTTAAGGTGAGAATTGTCTGCATTGTGTGTGGAATATAAGATATGCGTGTTGTTTCTACTCAGTTGGATGGAAGAGATGGACTCTTTCATCATAATGAGCCTGTGAGACATTATTATTATTTTTATATTTTTATATTTTCTTGCTCTTCATACTTCTCGCTTGCTGACTGGACATAAACACTAACATATGGCAAAAAAAATAATTTATTCAACGGTTTAATTTATACAGCACTTTTCACAGACATGGCTCACAAAATACACGAAGGATATAGCCATCATTACATACTATATTTATTTTATGTACTTTTTAAAAAAATAATATATCACATGCCCAAACACAACATTTTACCTTTAACAAAAATTCCTTAAAAAAAAAAATCTAAAATACAAATCCAGGAATAAGAAGCATGCTTTTGGAATGTGGAGGCAGCTTGAGTATTTGGGGCAGACCCATGCAAATCCAAAATTGGCAAATCCACAAAGTAGGGACCTGAGCTGAGCTTTAAACCTGGGACCTTTAGAATATGAGACGTGACAACCACAACTCCAATACCTTGCCTTATTTCATTGACAGTAATAATGAAACCGTAACATGATAAACAGAAAAAGGAAAGTCAATGCACACATTGGCACTGACACCAGTTGTCAATATTATAAAATGTCAAATTTACCAAGTGCTGATCTGAGATGTTTCCTGGTGGGTCACATCAGTGTGGTGAGACAGCTGGGGCTCCTGCAGGGTGCCGAACTGCAGTCAGTGAGCATGAAGCTGACTCACCACAGGCAAGCAGACAAGCCTCAAACAGAAAAGGAGGGCTTGTTTGTTCCGTCGCCAGCATTGAAAAGCAGATCAAAGTTTTGACGGTAGCCAGCAGCGGCACGACGCAAACCAAGCCTGAGTGCTTTTAAACTCATGCTTTTTCCACATTTTTTTGCCCGCTGATCTGAATGGACTTTTTAAAGTTGCCTATGAGCTTGCTCAACCCTCCACACGAAGAGCCGAGACAACAAGGAATGACCACTGTCACCACTTCCGAGATTTACAATAAAACAAATTTGACGCCAGCATGAGAAGCTGCAGACACATGTAGGTCGGTCTGTGCTTGCTAATTAATACATCCCACGCTGCATTCATTAAGCAAACCGCCTCATCAGTGGAGCCCAGGATTAGGATTTAATGAGGTCGGCAGCAGGCGGGGGGGCTCCACAACAGGTGAATGTCAGCATCTGCGTGACATCAAGCTGATGACACATCCTGCAGTCTCACACACACACACACACACACACACACACACACACTGGACCGCACTCCCACCTCCTTGAAGGAGAACTGCCCAGGGAAGGGGGCTGCGCTTCTGTTGGTTTATATACACAGAGGAAAGGTAGCCTTAGATCGACAGTCTGTGGAAAATGTAGCTGCGTCTTTTTCTGCTGTAAAGTTTACACCAGGCTCCCTCGTGATGACTTGTCCTCAGTGGGGATTATCGCATTGGGCGTCATTACTTGCGTCATTCGGGTTGAGTAATAATAATAAAAAAAAATTAAAACATGGTATGCAGTGGAAATAATAACACATATAGGAGTTATAACTACAATAAAAAGTGGTTTTCATTTTGAACCTATAAGGTCTGAAACTATTGTCCTTATTGATTTACTGTCAATATTCATACAAGTGTAGTTTCATGGCTTCTTTTAAGGTGAGAATTGTCTGCATTGTGTGTGGAATATAAGATATGCGTGTTGTTTCTACTCAGTTGGATGGAAGAGATGGACTCTTTCATCATAATGAGCCTGTGAGACATTATTATTATTTTTATATTTTTATATTTTCTTGCTCTTCATACTTCTCGCTTGCTGACTGGACATAAACACTAACATATGGCAAAAAAAATTATTTATCATGTATGTAACTATTGCACGTGTCTGTGTGCATGTGCGTGTGTGTGTGTGTGTGTGTGTGTGTGTGGTATATATATATATATATATATATAGAGGCATTTTTAGCCATGTAACTATTAAAGCACATGCATGTAGAAATAAATTAAATTTAAAAAATCCCCAAAATATTAATACATTTGTGTCCACTGGTAGCACACGAATATATGTTCCTTTTGCTCGTAAAACTATTGAATAGGTTGAAGTTGAAAAATATTAATTGAACCCCAAAATGCTACTGAGTTGGACGAATTGGTTTGACAATATAACCTATAGTTTTATGTTTTTATGAATCCGCAATATTTTTTTTTCAACAATGTGTGGCTTCAATCTTTAACACCAGTGTTCTTTCAATGTGAAATCTCGACCTTCCGATACAGCAAACACACTCGAATGTGTCAAATCGCGCATGTCAGCGTGCAGGCGAACTCATGGGCCTAAATCAAGCATGCACATTGCAACCTTGAACAACAACAACGCGCAGCTATCTTCGAACGACAGATCGGACTTTACCTTATATGCCCATCTCCTTGCATTACTGTGTTTCTCCGAGAAATTGCTCACCTTTGTCCGTCGTCCACGCCGTTTGCGACACCGCGCCGTAGCTCCTGAGCGCCCGCTCTGTGGCCGAAAAAGACTTCTTCATTTCCATGTTCGCCCAGAGAACTGCCTGACCCTAAATGTACACGTCTTACGCAAGTCTAATGCTTCCTGGAGCCGAGTTTTCAGCCGGCTGAGCCTGAGACGCCGAGCATAGTTATCCGAGCTCCTCGGTCCCTCGACGTGCGGATGGAGGGGGATGCAGGGAGCATGCGCGTTGCTGACGAGGAAACGAAAAGCGGGGAAACGCCCACTGGCTTCGAGAGGACTCTCACAAGGTTTTTTTTCCCATGTATAACCCACTTTAAAAAAAAGCAGCTGGAACAAAGTGTTATACAAATATAAAATCAGCCGGAGTTGGAATTGAGAATGCAAAGCAAGTGATTCACTATTCATTCTCGATAACAACGGTGTGTTTGATGGCAACTGCTTTTAAATTTAATTCTCTTCATTTTCATCACTCAAAACTTCCGCTCAGTTGATTTAAGCTTCTACTTGCTTGGTTCTAAATCTTTTCAAGTTGTAGTCATCGACATGGTGGCCACCACATGCGCTGCCCACTAGCCTGTTCAATACTGCTGCTCTCCAGTGAGGGGGCATTGTGATTGTCATTTAAAAATGCAAACACTTGCAGAAATTTATAGAAATAAAGTATGGTATATTGATATTTGTTTCCTAACTTGTTAAATCGTTATCGATATACAGGGTGTTCCAAAAGTCTTGGGCACATTTTGACATTGAATATCTCAGAAACTATTACGGATATAAAAATGCATCTGGTAAAATCAGAAAGTTTGTAATCTCAATTTTTACATGGAATGTTCAAAGATGTTCAATGTGAGCGCCATTGGTCACACGACACACATCAAGCCGATTGTCAAATTCTTGCCAAACGCGTCCCAGCATTGCATTTGTCAATGGTTGCAACAGCTTCTGTTATTCGTGCCCATCCGTTATGAATTTACCATGCCATCTCACTATGGACTTCCTCTCTGGTGGCTCCTTTCTGAATTTTCTGCGAAAAATGTGTGTGCGTGTGTGTGTGTGTGTGTGTGTGTGTGTGTGTGTGTGTGTGTGTGTGTGTGTGTGTGTGTGTGTGTGTGTGTGTGTGTGTGAATGTTTGTTTGTGCCCTGCAATTGGCTGGCGACTAGTCCGCGATGTACCCTGCCTCTCGCCCAAAGTCAGCGGCAGGAGTAGGCTCCAGCTCACCTGGGACGCTAATGAAGAGAAGTTTTGGCAATTTCTAAAGTACTCCAATATACTGTAAAAACTCACACAATGCACAGTACAGTACTGTAGTACGTTCATCTGTATTTATTCATTAATGTAAATGATTTTTTTTTTATCACCGTCACAATCACTTAACTAGTTTCAAATATGATCACCGACCCCATCACTGATCCAAAAATGTCAATGTGGTGTCAAAATCAACGCAGCATTTATTTAGCTTCACCAGCCGATGTAATAAAACAAACAGTTCAGTCATTTGACTTATGTAGTAAACATTAGCACACAACAAATCTAACCTCCTACAGTATAATTATAAATACTACAAAAAATGTAAATTCCAGCACAGTTGAAAGGTGTCTGATAAATAGTGTTAGGATGGATTATTCTTATTTATTTTTTTAAAATGAAATTCACATCAACATTTAACACAATCAATCAACAGGTTTTCCTTCGTGTCAGTGAGACAAATCAAATACAACTAATCCCATTTGTATACTTTGTAGGAAAAGGACTCTTGTCACCAACTCTTCCTGTGAAATGATAGCGAACACACAAGTGCAGCGATTCATGATTCATGCCCACCCCCCCAAAAAAGCTTTTTGGCAGAGGTCTTTGCTTACGATTTATGCACTAACAGGTTCTTGTTTACATAGTAGTCAGTGATGTTTGTACAAATGATGATTTGTCTCAAAATAACAGCATGCATGAAAAAACAATGTGGAATGCAAAGGAAAAAAAATTGGATGAAGTGAGGGAATGATGCAAAGATGATATTGTTACATTCATGCAACACAGAGAGGAGCATCATTTTTGCAAACCTAAGTGTATGCCTTTATTATATATAGTATGCGTGTTCATTCATTTACATCCATACAGTATATATGCAGGTAGATATTTACATATAAATATGTGTGTATGTATATATCTAGTGTATGTTACGCACACACTGTGATTTTCTAAGAACGTGATCATTTGAAAATGGAAACACTGGCAGAGGTTTATTAGAAACGAGGTGTCACAGACTGATATTCAGTAGTTTCCTTATAATTTTGAGAATTCATTAACACGATCAGTGTCTTCACAAAAAAATGAATGTGATTCCTTATTCATACCATACCGGATAATGGTAAAATTGTTGAAGGAAATTGAGGATATTTGCTACTTCAGAAGTGTGTGTCGGACTGGTAGCCCTTCGCATTAATTAGACATAGCTCTCAGTTTCAAAAAGGGGTACACAGTGAAAAGTATATGATGCTTCCTATATTATCGCGCCTACTAATAGGTTTTTGTGACCTGGTTGTGATGAATGTCAACATGTGCCAAAGCACAAACTTTGCATACAAAAAGTCTGCACACCCCTGCTGAAATGCCAGTTCTTTGTCATGAAAAAAAAATGTAAAAGATGTGAATAAATACAAATAGAAAAAATAATTACTGTATATCAAAACCTTTCCTCTTTTAACCTCTTGGTGTCGGGCACTTGGTAGCTGTTTGAATCGCTTTCCATCAGCTCTGGAAATATGCGCAGTTCTTTGAACTGTCATATTGAGAATCGTCGTTCACTTACGAGGTGTCCCCTTAAAGTGACATCATCGCCAAATACAAATGTAGCTGGAGATGCCTGTCGTGTTTTGATATTGCTCCTCTTTTGTCATTCAACTCAGCCTGTAATGCTAAGCAGGGTGAAAAAACATATTTTTAAAAAGTTCTTACTGATTATGGAAACTGAATTTGAAAAACAAAAGTCAAAAGTAAATAAAAAAAGGGGGGAAAAAAACAATTATAGCCTTGTGCTGATTCCCATTTAACACGGGTGCCCACATTATCTCAATTGTTCACATTAATGGTAGAAAAATGTTTTGAAATGATTCATCAAGATCCATTTTTTTTTCCTGAATCACAAAAACGTGGCATTTGAACAAGGGTCTGTAAATGTTTTTGTATCCAATATATGCTGTGGTGGCAGCCCCAGGTAACATCGATGCGTTTATATTGTTGGGGATAATCAGCCATGCTCCTATTATGTGACAGTAGCAGATCGAATGCAAAGAGATATCAGCACCAACCATTTCAACCTAGTTTCACGTTTCCAATTTTTCATTTTCAGTGGCTCAACAATCATGATCATCGTCATGACAGCCTAAGCTGCTCGGACAAAAAAAATTAAATAAAGTAAAAAATAAAAAAAAGAGGGTCACATCAACAGCTTGTTTTGTGGGTTTCCCCTACAGTTGAGAAGTGTATCTACCACGAACTGCATATTCATTACCTGAACTTCAAAGATCAGAAGTAAAAGGAGTTTCTAAATGTATGTGGTAAACGTTAATGCTTGCAATAAATAATGTCTGGTTGTTTTGATGTGGAGCAACTTTGCATGAGCCCTGCACAACAAGTAGGTGATCAGGGGTCACCATGGCGATAGGGGAGATGCTATTTTTCTTTTTAACAAGCCAGTGTACCGTTTAAAAAAACTTTGTGGCAGTTATTTGAAGGTCCCATGACTACATATTTTTGCTATTAGTTGTTTCATTCTTGAATATGATGATATGCTCTGGTCACAATAGAGCAAGCAGATTGTGGACAGTTTTCAAGTATCAGCCACCAAGATGACCTATGACCTGTGATTCGAGCCTTTTTGGAGAGCAAATGTGAGTGAGAGTGAGAAGCCTCGCAGACATGATGACAGTTAAAACATGTTGCTTGTTCACCCTGTTTCTGGAAGACAATCTCCTGTCGTATTGTGGAGCAGTTTCTGACCATAAACTCGCTGGCCACAGCATTAGGTACACCGCCACAATGAGATACAATACAGAAGTTGTAACAAGACTGATGATGTTTTTAAAGATTATTGTAGGATAAGTTGTGTTGAAAATAGATGGATTAATTTTGTATTGATACTGGCATATGTTTAATTATTTCTAGCTGACCATGTGTACCTTATGTTGCGGCCGAGAGTGTGGCTTCGAAATCTGAACGACCGTGGCAACTTAAGGCCAACGTTGACCCCCTGAGTAATTCATGAGCTGCTTTCTACCCTGACTCCCAATGTATTTTCCGTCGTTTTCTTTTTTTTCACTTCTGTTTGGGTGAAGGATTTAGGACTGCCTCTTTCGAAGCAAGTACCTTTCTTTTCATCTTGTCTGCCTGCTCTGCTCCGTCCCCTTTGGAGGGGAACATCCACTCGAGGGCAGCACCGGCGGTGCCGTCGCCACTCTGACGCGAAAAACACAAGAAAGTGGCCCAAATGAAGGCACAGCAGCCACTGAAGGTTGTTCGCACGTACGGAGGCACCAAGGCGAAATTCAGAAACTGGGGGAGACAAACAAAGATTTTGTTTTTCAAAAATGGTCATTTATCAACTTGTTGGTACCGTACATGTAAGATGAGGCGATCATTTATTTGGGTTCACAGTCATAGTGGCCCTCGACAGGAAACCATAACTACTAATGTGGCCCATGATAAAAATGAGTTTGACACCCCTGAAGAATAGACTTTTGAATTTTCCCTGAAGAGATTTGAATTAGCATACTTTTTTTTTTATATGTGGGTCACTGGTTGAATATTGTGAACAACTTAAAAAGGATGTTCTTGTCAAACACTGTGACTATAAAAACTTTAACCCTTTCAGGGACAGCGGTTACTACAGTGGACAGTTTATCATGTTATCGGGTCACAGGGTGCATGAAAGGGTTAATATCAATCAGACAAGTATGACAGGTAATTGTTGATCATTATTCTTTAACTCGAGGCAGAGAGATGTAACTTGGAGCTATAAAGCATTCACCGCTCGTGGTCATATATTGCCAGTAACGGCCAAGAGTTAAATTCTATCCCTGGAATAGGAGATGTAATATTTACCTGCATGAAGGGCCAGAACATTAACCCAGTCTGGAAAGAGAAATAACACAAGTTGAACCATCCATGCTTGTGGAAAGGCAAAGAGAATGATTCGTTTTCAAGTTAAAAAAGAACTAAAACAAAAACTTGAGAGATACTGTCTGAGATTGTCATTCCGAACAATTTGCGAGATCTGTGTGTAGTTACTAAACAGTCTTAAAGTCATGCAATTGCTCAACAAATTGAAATGAAAGCAGAGAACAAAATGTTATCACTGAACGGGCTCATTCAAGAGAAGAATTACAGTGGGACCTATTTTATGAGTTTGAAGCGCAGGGATTAGCACAAAAGTGTTTTTACTTGATGAGCTTTGTGTTTGTGTGCGTGTGCGTGCGCGTGCGTGAAACCGACACAGAGGTGCAACTGAATTAGAAAATTGGAAACATGATAGCGAGCACTGAACGGGAAATTAAATTAATGATATCAACGTCGCAGTCTTGGCTGCTCAGTATAATACGGTGTGGCTAAAGCGACAAATTACTTGACTCTGTTTCGCGCTAATGTGAAGAGACTCACATTGTCATCCGTAAGCAGTGCGTACACAAGTTGCTTTCATATTTACACTTGTATGACAGTCAAGAATAATTAAAAGTGTGACGCATGAGGTCAACATGGATTCTGCAACTGTCTCTCTCTCTCTCTACTCCCATGAGCAGCACACGTGCTTCCTTCATGCGTCATGAAAAGTGGAGTGATTTTGTCTTACTTTTATTATATCACGGCCAATATTTTTTTTTCACGTGAATGACGGTTAACAGGGGTAAAAATATTGCTTCAAATGTGTCTGTACAGAAAAATAAATAGTCCTATAAACATAGATAATTGGACTACTGAATACAATTAAGTCCAAAGGTTTTGACCTGGTCACTAAAATGATTCTGTTTGACTTCGGAGATTCCACTGTATGTTTCTCAGTCTTAAGAGTGTTATCAGATCTGAATTACCAGACATTTTCTTCATGAGAATCAAAGGCGAAAAAGAAAAGCAGCAATGTCATCACAAATTGGGTGATTACAATGTGCCCACTTAAGTTTTTTTCTACTCACTTTGTAAGTGTTCAGGAATTTGTCCCTCCAGTCTTCCATGACATCCTCCTTGCCCTCTAAGAAACTGACACCTGTTGAACACACAAAAAAAAAAAAAAAAAAACCTCATTATCAGACTGATAAATTTAAAACACACACATATATTCATACACTTATTCAGAATCATCTATTTTACAGGGTATTTATCGCTTGTATCATGACTGATAAAATTCTGTGAACATTTTTGGATCCCGTGCTTAAAAAAAAAAAAAAAAACAGGTCTGTGATGTTAAAAGAAACCATTTCCCAACACACCCCACAGTATCAATTTTAACCAACATCCGTGTCACAGTTTTCCAAAGAATTGTTAGAAATTAGTCCACATTTGTCACACACGTTTTGGGTGGCAATATCTCATCTACAAGGAAAGGGATGTTTTGTTGTGGTCAACTGTAAAATGTTTGGGAAGGTTACCTCCAATACACAAACTATTAAAACAAATGAATTCCCTTTTCACTAGTTGTCAAAATTTCGAGCTGCTCCTAAGGAGAGCTTATCATGGACTCAGGTGTGCGAATGAGGTGACACACAGAGCTGGTGTTTGGATGTACAGTACACGATGAGGATGGTCATGGCGGCAGAGTTGATCTACATCCATCCATCCTTTTCGGGCAGTAGGCGGAGTATACCCTGAACTGGTTGCCAGCCAATCGTAAGAGAGCTGATCTAATGTTCAATAAACAAGTCTTGGCAGTTGAGTTAAACTATTACACGTTTCAACTTTGAGCATTTGCCCCTCCAAAGTCTTGGCGGACACCCGCCAATTCCTTTGACTTCATGCAGGGACAGAAGAACGAGGCAGATTGGTATCACGTTGTAAGCAGTCAAAGAGCGATCCATTTGCAAGTTAGCCATTAACTGACCTGTGTAGAATGCGCTGGTGGCCAAGGGCGCAGCCGTGGTCTGATCCAAGAAAAGCTTCTTCATCACCATCCCGGCAGAATAGCCCGGGAATTTGCGCTCCAGAAAGCGCATCCAGAAGAAATTGAAGTTGCCATGGAAACTGAACGCGACAACGGCGACATTCCGTGTATGGCTCCAATCCATTTTGTCCCGCTGCGAAAACCACTGGTGAACAAAGTCCCCTCCAGCGAAAAGGCAACCGTACAATGTCACATTGGTGACCCAAGGGAACCGACGGACATGTTTAATAAACGCCTTTATCATCATAGGAGCCTTAAATTGAACGCACACGGTGCTACGTGAAAACGGTAAGGACAGCTACACAATTAATTTGCATCGTGGAGGGAAATGACTTACATGAACCCCAAAATGCAAATAGTGTACGCCGGCATAGCATTCACACAATGCTATTCGGTCACGACAAGACAAATGGCGTGCGTCGTATTTACCCAATGAGCTTCCCGGCATCCAAACAACAGAATTATTTCCGATGGAAAACGCTCACAATATGAACAAACGATATGTTGTGTTACACATCTGGCTAGGTAAATGTTAAGCCTTTCATGTGATACAGCAGTCTCTCGTTGAAACGTCCACAGATGTAGTAGCTGGACTGGACCCTTGCTGCTTCTGCACTCTCTGTTTCGGCAAGGAGGTGGGTACTCGAGGGGTGTGTCAGGATGCGCGGCCCGGCACATATCACATTTTGATTGGCCGGATCTTCTTTTGGGCGGGGCTAAATCAATTCACGGGGTGCTGAGTGGGGGAGATGTGTGCATTTAAAACGCGTCACGTGCTTGACAGATGACATTCTCACACTGGAGTTGAAACGAACATTTTATGTCTTGTTACTGGAGTTGAAACGAACATTTTATGTCTTGTTATTTATAGTATCATATCAATATACAGTGTTTATATTGACATTATATTCTACGCGACGAAAATGTTTATATAAGTTGGCGAATTTAATTGCATCGGTAACTTAAATGAACGTATACTCCATCAGGAAAGTGTCACGTTACCTTCAATGTCACGTTTCAGGACTGTAGTTTACTGAACTCATTTCTTTTAAATCGTAAATACGATATAGACATGAAAGAACTGTTTCTACATCTAGCCCATTAATGAAATGATACAGAGAGGCAACAGATATATTAGATCACCACACAAGTTAAAGTTGATACCACAGTTGCCCTTCATGAACGTAGTACGTACACTAATATGTAGAAGCGTTTTAACAATTCACTGCCACTGATAGCGAAAGATGCAAAATATGCAGCATTGTAATTGTGAGAGTCGTCAGTGAATAACATTTTTATATTAACATTTATAAAGCTGAAGTGGTGTTTTTTTTTTATTCACAAAGTGAAAATATTCTAAAGTCCAGTTAAAAAGTCAAAAACCCAGAACCTGCACCTTTAAGGGAGGGGGGATAGTAGACACGTTTCTGGGTAGAAAGGGATAAAAGGGGTGAAATGGAATCGCTTGGTGTGAAAACAGTCAGTTTTGTGTGGTAACAAATACGATTTGCCTTCGTCTCTTCATCTCATCATTTACTACATCTCGACAGTGTGTGTAATTTTGCTATCATGTCATGAGGTTTTGTGAAATCAATCTGCACTCATCTGTAAAATAATTTTATTGATTGCAATAAAGACAATAAGGTTTCACAAATAATGTAATAACAATAATGAGGCATAGTGAGACATTGATCTGACACAGAAGGAGATGGAAGGTGCAGGTTTTCCATCAGCTCGCATGAATGGAAACATACGCTACCTTCTGCAGACAATTACAAAATGCGGTTTGTGTCTACTTCTCTACTGGGCCAGCCAGATGAGTTATTATAGCCGTTCAATAGACTTAAGGTAGAGTTTAAGACACAATGAGATAGCAGATGGTGAATGGATGGTCATTGAGAATCAAGAATCAAGTTGAGAGGCAAACCTCTCCCAGTCTCCGTTTTCAGACCTGTGGTAGAGCTGCGGCTGACCCCCAGGGAAGAGGCGGTCAGAGTTTGGGTGCTTTAGGAGGAACTGGATGGTGGATTTGATGTGGTGGACAAAGTGCGGTGGCTCAGCCTTTGGTGATGTGGACAAGTACTAATTGGGACACACAAATTCAGAATTGAATATACACTGCGAAGCAACCCGCACACCTTGAATTGCTAATCATAAGAGCCATTTCTAGATCATTTACCTGTAAAATGACGGCATCGTCTTGTGACAACCAAAAGGCAATTTCCATATTAGGTGACCACTTCCAAGGGCCGACTTCTACAAGTCCTCGACTAGAGTCATAAATGTCAACCATCTGTACAAGAATAAAAACCTGATTCAGTTGATCTTGGGAGAAAAATAGTGGCTTCATTTTCTCAAACAAACACATGGAACATGTGGACCCCTGCCCAATTTTCTTCGTTGTAAATTACAACTACTCACCGGTCTCCACAACTATAAACATTTTTATCATATTCATTATAGCTAAATTGTGTCATAGTGACTCACGGTACAATTTTGTTGAGTTTTATAGGGTTGTTCGTTGTCATTCGTGACGTAGTTTTGCAGGAGACGAACCACAAATAAAACAGATGATGCTCTGCTCTTTGAGCTACCCTCTGGAATTGCTCGATAAAATGTGCTTCACATCTAAAGAAGCAACTGACTTGGTAACAATGTTTTTTCATCAACTGCATTTCATTTTGAATGCCTCTGGACATCGCATTTAATGCTTTTTAATGCAATTTAAGGCCTTCATTTTTGCAAAATACATTTAATGACTTCATGCTTTTCAATGGCACCTGCAAAAGGTTTCTTGATGGTTTATTAGTTTACACATCATAATTGGTGTGTTGGAGGTACCTGTCCCCCTGTGAAGGTGCGTGCTGACCGCAGGTCCTCTGCTGGGCCTTTATAAGGAAAAGTAGCAGGGAACACTTTGCCTGTCTTAACGTTTACACCTTAAAAACATAAAAATAAAGGAAAATGAAGTAGCAGCGTGCACTTAGAACAGCATAATTTCTTGGGCAGCAGTCACATACCAACACCATAAACTGCAGGTTTATGAACAGCATTGACGACTACATCGTTCATTTCTGGGGAGAAAAGGAGCAGAGAAGAATGGATTCGACAGGAAATTATGACATTTGTAAACAAGATGTAGTATTCACATTAGGTCACCTGTGATGCAACATGTTTGCAGATGGATATCATCTTTCAGTTGCTGGAAAGCTGCTGGAAAATGAAAAGTTAAATTCAGCATACTTATTTTCTTATTTAGCAGGGCAGCTTAAGGTAAGGGAATTAGACAATACCCAGTATGTTAAGGCTGAGTTTATGGGATGTCATTGCCTCATCCTTAAATCCACCAACAAGATGCAGTTCAAGTCTACTTGGAGGGATGAGGAGGTTCAGTAAATGCATTGTGAATTGTACTGCCTGTTTGCTTCATACCTGCCCTCATTACAGCAGGCACTCAGTGATGTGACTGACTTGATAAGAAGAGGGACTTCAGCAAAAGTGTTGGAACCATCACAGTGTGCAAGGCAAACAGCTCCACTTCCTGACAATGAGAAACATGATTTAAACTTGGATGCATGCTGAAAAGGGACACAAGTGAGAAAACCAGTAAACAAGTTTCACCTGTATGCCGTAACACAACCAAATGGCAGGTGGTGGCATCGTCAGACCCAATCACTGAAACATTATCTGGCAAGGTATATAAGACACAGTGTTAAGGTAGAGTCTAGCATTTCAGCTGCTATCATGGTGTCAGGCTCACAGAACACATCCAATTACACACATTGACAAAAGGATTTGTCCCCCTGTTAATGGGGAAAAAATGAAACTCAACCAATGATTCCAATAGAATTATTTTTTTTTTAAAAAAATCATGAAACAGATCTACACAAACATGTTTTTTTTTTTTTTTAACCGCAAGTCGTGTTTTAAGTCCATTTACTTTCAGTACGATCAATATGTTTTCATGGCTTGCTTTTATCAGTCTCTGGAAGAAACATTTATAAATAATGTTGTTTTCTAAAATAATTTTAGTAGTAACAGTTTTCCCCTTACTATCTGCTGGTGTCGTTGCAGCAAACTCTCTCTGTTGGACGTACAGGAGACACTTGGGGTCAACATCACTGATCGGCTGAGAACGAAAGGCTTTAGCATGTTCCTGTTACATGAACAAATATTTAGAGGTGGTAAGAATTTTTGAACATTTGACAAAGTACATTACACTAGGGAGCTCGAATTCACTTTAGCCCTTGTTATGATGCAAGGTACCGTACAAATAATACAGAACAAAAAGACAAATTACCCAAGTAATCTAAATCAGTAAATATCCTTGAATTTTCATGATTTTATCATCTTATATCATCTCAACCACATTTAAAACAATTTAGTTAATGCACAAAATACTGTATGTCACTGATCGGCAGTCTAATTACGATGAATGCAAATGTTTTAAAATCTTATTGGGATAAGAGGCATCAAATTATATGTCAGTACAGGTAACCGTCTACCAAAAAGGTAGAGGTTATTATTGCTTGGTGATGACAGCTATTTTAGCCAAACTGTGGAGACTAACCTGTAGATGTGGATACTTGTCGAAGAGTTCTCCGGTCGAAGTTATACGCTCGACTCGTATGTTTTGAATGAGCAAAGGCATGTCCCTAAAATCGATGGATTAACATACTGGTACTTTAATAACTAGCGACTACATCGCTTGATGTCTAAAATAACTGTTGGGACCAATAACTTCCTGTTTCCCCCGGAAAGACTCTTCTTCTACACGGAAATTAAAGTCTGAGAGTGAAACCCTACAGTGACACCTCCCCCTAGTGAAACGAAACAACAAATTATATTCACCATTATCACTACGTACATTTTTTCACGCAGCAATTCAACAAACTCTGGAGATACGCTGCATGACCAGTGACATTACGCCTCAGAAGAGGGCGTGGGGGGGGGGGGTAAATTGCGTATAGATAAGTTGCGTTTAGCCTGTGTTACGTGACGCGTCAAAACTTAGACAATTTTTAATCGTAATTTTGGTCACAAAGTGGATTATTTGTGTGCCAAATTAGTCTCACGTGTTTACTGGTCGACAAGCGCGCTTCTGTGCTAAATTACGGCGCAGAAAGACTTGTCGAAAAGACCAACAAGCCAAAGTTCCACGCACTGTTGTTTTTGGAACGATGAGGCGGGGTTCTTCCTATGACTCCAGAGACAGGGATCGTGGACGAGACAGGTAATTTAATATCTTCAAATGTGGTATTGATATCATGTATGAAATGTTTTATTACGCCAATTGCATTGCTGGAACTTGGAACAGAGCCCGCAGTTGTGTCGAAGTTTCAAGTTTACTTCAATAAATTCAGTTGCAAGGCTCGCAGTCTTCGGTGTTGTTGATCTGTTTTTAGGGTGGGGGGTGTCTCGGTCGTAGATCGTTTAAAGTTCAACCAAGTTGAATACTGTATTGTATATTATCGAGAAACAGACACTCACACACAAGATGATTTGTTTTTTAGATGAAATGCAGTTTAACTTAATGCAAAACGTATTCATTCAGTGGGGAAAACTTTTTGGGGACAGAAAAACGTGTAGTAATAATCGTCAATTTGTTTAATGACATTTTTTGAAGTCATTATCCCCGAACCTCT